TGTTGAATCGATATACTTAATATATTATAACTATGTAATACATCATTTTTATAGCACGTTCATTGGTAGATATCGAAATGTACCATTACCATCGACAATTCTCTGCGTCTATACATGGTATATGTACATATGAATCTTGTGATAGGATATTGATCCAAATCCCCATTACGGTTACAATTTGTTTAATCAGATTTGTATCATTTAATCAAAGCTTAGTAAATAATTCCTAATATATTGTTACATGTACATTATACAGTAACTAATTATGTAATTATAATGTACATAAATATAATCGTATTGAGGAACTACATTACATATCTAGTATAAATACATGTATTAATAGTCATTTTGGCTTAAAATACGATAATATTTTTTGCATAATAACAGATTACAAGAAGTTTCTACTCAGATCATTTTAAAATATTGATCATATTCAGAAAAATATCCTCTGTTTTTCGGTTTATCGTAGGGTGCGCATTTCAGTCGCATAAAGAAATATGGAGAACGCCGATATCGTACAAGCTGGGTTTTAGTCGCTTTGGTAACGTCGTGGTTCTTTGACATTCTTTGCAGTTTGTTCATCGCTGACCTAGTGATTGGCATGTGTCACTTTATTTCATTATAAAACTGTCGATGTTCGAGATTACCGCGCTAAGATAAGTGTACGATTGGACAACTGAACATTTCGACATTCGATCAACAACCACGATTTTGCTCTTGCTGCGGTTGAGCTTCAGGTCAAACTCGAGACTGATTCTCACCATATTCTTTAGAAGTTCTTCTATGACACAAGAACTGTTTGCGAAAAGTGGTGTCATCCGCGTAGTGCAAGTTGGAAAGTTTCCGGCACCCAATTGTAATTCCATCGGTCCATTTGTCGAGAGTACGCCTTATTATGAACTCTGTGTAGATGTTAAAGAGCAGTTAAGATATATTATGCATCCTTGACAAACGCCTGCACAGGAGTTGACATTGACTTTTGTGCCCTTATGATAAAGTCCGTTTTCACAGCTCAAGCTAACTTTCCTCTGATATAAATCATAACTAAACAAATATTGTTTAACTAATCATTATGACAATCACAAAATATAATTGAACTTGTAGTGTTATGATTTCCTTTGTATACATATGTAAATATAGTGTGACCGCAGCTAATGGCGGCCGGATACGATCCTTTAATATGACAGAGTAGTTCTGTCTCGTATTAGAGAATTATATATAGTTCCTAAAGAAAGGTCAGCAACTATATACATAAATATTATTAACTTGTTGTATGTAGGTCTTTATTCATCATCAATCGTATATTTTGGGAAATATTATTTTGTGCTTGGCCTTGTTCACAAAAAATTCTATTAAAGAAGCAAATAATAATTTTGTGAATCATAAAAAAAATATTCGTTTCAATACTTTATACAATAGTGATGACCATGTTCAGTATAATAACATGCTTGTTAGTCATAAAAAACTTTTTAAATACTTAAGTAAAGACGACTTAAAATTGACTCACTGATGAGCGGGAGATAAATAAATTTAACTTAAATTGAAAATCCCTCTCGAAGTTATCTTTAAGATTTCTAAAAACCACTTAGACTTAAGGATGTCACACACAGAATTACAAATTCATATGTCAATCTTCTTACTCCCTTTTCCTGTCAGGACTAATAAAAGGCAACGTATCATGAATGTTTAAATTTAAACCAGCGACAACAGGCTGGACCTTTTTGTACAAGTCAGGGCACTTAGAGCTCTTTAGTAAGCTAAAGTATTTTATTACTAATCACTGTTGGCATGTCAACCTAGTCTCTCCAGTTTCATCTTAGCAGATATAATAGATGTAAAAAAAGAATTAAAAATAAGACATTCTTTTATTGTACATATTATATCCTTAATTATCTTAATAAAAAAACAGTGTCATAAATACTAAATATTGTCTTTAAATAGGATTAAGAACGCAATACAAATTGTATATTATGATAATGATCATAAATTAAAGAGTTGAAATAAGATAAATACTCCTTTACATTCTAACTCACGAGCATTTAAAAAAAACAATAAAATAAAAAATACTTGTATTAAAAACATGTATAAAATTTATTACAATCAAAAAAATTAAGAAAAAATGTACCGTTGATACGTAGGTTTTCTTTATTACAAGTTTCAAGTATCGACGACCAGAAAATATTAGTTTCAGGTCGAGATACGATCAGATACGTTTAGGAGTTTCAGAGAAAAAATATACTTCATATGAATTTAATGCCTTTTCCTTCATTTATAATGTTGATTGATTGTACATATACAACATTAAGAAATTTTACGAATTAAGAGACTCTTTAAAAGTAATAACATGGGACTAAACTTTATCTGGTAGAGCAATAAATATGTATATCCTTCTTTGTGTGCTGGTACTGAAAGTGGAATTTTATCCTTTTCGAAGTTTCCTCTGAAACCACAACATAGGGTGTCTTAAAAATTACTATATATTTTTGTTCAGTAAAAATAAGGCCGGCAATATATTTGCAATTATACATAATATGTATGTGTCATATATTCATAAGGACGGTAATCATTTACCAACACATGAAGTGTTACCTCGTTTACCACTTGATTGAAATAAATAATATTAAATTTTACATTATAATTACTTACAATTTTCATGACATATAAATAAGTCCTTTTATTGAAAAGCTTCACTTAACGAGCCCTGGTTTATCTGAGATTTTTCTTATAACGAGTAAAAATAATTATCATTATAATTTATAAACTAAAAGATTTAATTCTTGACATTGATAAGCGCTAATGAGCCCTAGTACAAAATTAGGCAGTGGGTGATTATTGTTTAATAAATAAAAGACAATTACAAACAGAATATAATATATTTCCAACTCATCGCGACGTCGCATAGAAAGTTAAAATATACTACGATTGCATACATTTGTTTAATATTAATAAGTGAGCTTATAGTTAGAAAGCGTTAAAATCTAAAAATATATCGAGTATGTCACATGAAACCTCTTGATAATTAATGATGAATAAAACTATTAGTTTATTAAATTATTTATGAAATATTGATTACAATATTTACACAAGACTTATTGTGTTCACACAAATGAAAATGGACTTAGCTTAGTTCGAAAGATATACATTAACTATATGGTAACATTTTCACACTTACAATGTATGGAATATTATCTATAACTTTGATTACAATTAAAACTAATCATCATCACCATCAAATTTACTTAGTTATTATTATCATCTACACGTCATGTCTACGCGATATATTTGGAACTCTGAAGAATTTTTGTAAGCTATAATAGTTTATACTAAATCTATTTAAGGTTTATTTTGAGGTAATTTGAGCAAAATATAAATTGAAAATGAGTATCATTAGTTAAAGATTGAGCATTTTTACAACAGCTGTCAAAGTAATAATTGAGCAATAGTTAAATTTTTTTTGTTGGGAGCTATAGGAGAAAAAAAAATTCAATTATGCAGAGCTAGATTATGGCAAAGGATTATAAGTAGAATTTCAGCACAGGAAAATATTGATGTGGATACAAAATATATTATTATGAGGTAGCTTCACCTTCTTATAAAGAACTATGTTCTATATTTTTATATCGTAGTGAAAATATCTATGCTTTTAATTTACTCTTTATGTCAATTTATTTCAAAAGGACGTTTCGATAACTTGAAACTTCGAGCCATATTCACTGAAAGATGGAATTACTCGTATTTTAAGAAATATAAACTATTTCACCGAGTCCAATCCGAAAATATGGTTTTATTTCCTCAAGTTATTTAAACAGTAAAAAGCATAGACGTCTTAAGAATTTTTCAAAGAAGAAACCTTATATATGTCCATCTACATTGCTCTTAGTCTAATATTTGGCAAAGATTTTCTTTAAATATTATTGCTCTTTATATTACATGAAATACACAATAACCAGATATATTTGAACAATGAACTACTTTTATACAAACTACCGTATCAAATCACGTCGTGCATTGTCTTTTTGACATTTTGATAAATATTGAAATGGGAACCAACTTGAGATCATTTTGTTACATTTTAATTTATTTATGACTACATACACATATTCGTTAGCTCCCATTGGTAAAAATTCTAATACTTCATATGTTACAATTATTCCTATTTTAATATTCTTTTCTCAATAATATTTAAAATATTTTATAAATATATTTTAAGGATAGCAATAATTTTTGGTTGAAAGATTTGATTAGTAATGAATAATATAACTGATGTTGAATGAAAAAAATTTAACCACATTAGCATAAAATTAACACTGGACGGAAAAGCTACGTGGCAAATCAACAAATTCTATAAAATTTTGATGTATTTATAAGTATAAAAAAAGGGAAATAAAGAATTACAAATTCACTAACTATTAATACAGGTAAAAGAAAAGAAAACAATATACTATCTGGTAAAAGAAGTCACATTAAAATGCCCAGGAATTATTTTATCTACAACAAGAAAATAAATCACAACCTTAAAATAACCGAAACCTATATATAAAGCTAACACGTTTTGGCATTAGTAAGTTTTTTATTTTAAATTACATTCAATATATTAATTATTTTTAGCATTATTTTGCAAGAGTACAATTTAATGAGCAAATAGCTTCAGCTGTAAGATTAAATTCCACACTACATATAAAATTTACAATATTGTTAATAATTTGATATGCTATTATTCTACATTATAACATTTATTATCACAAAGAAAATGGAATTAATCAAAAAGAATATATTTGGCCGTTTAGTAGATCTCAAAGTTCCTACTTAAAATAGTATTCGTTGTAGACCTAGAATAATTGAGTTTTTTCACGACATCACCAGGAAGCTTGTCACAAGAATTAATAATCCATTTCAGAATTTAAACCTACAAATCACTTTACTACCACAATCCTTGTCGATGTGAAATGGAATGTATAGTTGGAGATCTACGGATTAAAAACGACCAAATAATCTGTTTGCTAGGTGCTGCATTTGAGTATTTTACGGAATGCCTTTCTGAATTCAGGGTTAAAGATGGTGTAGATAACAGGATTGAGAAAAGAGTTGATGTATCCAAGCCATGTGTTGAGTATGAAAACGGTCACGCCAGGAGTGAATTGTAGCCCAAGCTTCCCACAAATAGCGTCCAATACATTGCACGTGAAAAACGGAGTCCAACAGAAGAGGAAGACACCTGGGAAAATTAAAATTTTAGTTACCAGAGTTCCAAAAAGTTCACAAGTCCTTTTAAGAAATTATACACAAAATTGTCACTTCTGCTAAATCTTTAATTTTAAACTTTTAACGAGTTATCGTAAGAATACTTGTCCATTTGAAGAAAGTATAAATCATTTGATACAACTTTTTTCAAAACATAAAAATATTGTTTTACAATCTTATTAGAAACTTTTTTGAAGAGATACTAGTTAAGTAAGTTGTACAATAAATAGTAATTTATTAGAATAAGTAACTAATTTAGTCTTACCAAGAACTATAGCTAAAGTCTTTGTGGCCTTTCTTTCCTTTTTAGCAGAAGATTTCTCCCTTTTCTTTTTACTAGCTTTATTAGCCTTATAAATAGTGAACCTCGCAGTCGCTGCACTCGCTTTCCTTTCCTTTTTGCAAGTGGATCCATCTCGGATATCATAATGGCTTGATCTCAAATCGTCATCTGATCGGAAGGCTATTGAAGCGTTTCTAAGGAAAAGTTTAAATAATTTGAAAATTTGAAATAGGTTTATAGATTTTTCTTTTTGAAAAATAACTAGTTGTCATGATTTTGTAGGAGTCTGTTAAATGATATTTTTACAAAATGTACTGTAACCTCTTCAACAAAATGCAATGTTGCATATTAAAAAAGTTTTTTTTTTACCTTGAGTCGCTATCGACTCGTTTTCCATTTTTTTTCCACTTCGCATCAGAGGAAATGCTCTTTAAAATAGTGGCGTCTTTCATACTGGGAGATGCTGGTGGTGATATGTGCTCTCTGATCGTATCTTCCAAATTAGATGGAGCGTATCCAGAATCATTGTTACCGTTCGGGTCTGGTATAATTTGAGATTTAATCTTCTTCTTAGGTTTTCTATAAACAGATTATTAAGTAGAAAATTATCATGTATATATAAAATCCTACTAATAATAATAGTTAATAATGAGTGTTTACTTTATTTTATCATCCGCAGAACTAGCAAGAATGAATTCCGTGGATTTATCATTAGGTATTATGTGGCACTCGTCAGCGTCTACCTCCAGGTCCACCGACCGCTTGTCGAAACTGTGGTGAAATAACAAACATTACGTTACTTTAAATAATTTAAAAATTGTTACATATAAAAATAAAATCATATTTTATTTAAAAAATATAAATTTTTTAAATAAAATAATGTATATGTATAATATTCACACTTTTCGCGAGTACATTACAGTATTTTTAAATGAAAGTGTGTTTTATAAAATTATGTGAAACAAGTGTTAAAAATTTTATTGTGGTATTTTTCATATAAGCATTTGACAATATTTTGAGGACAGTAACACGGTTGTGTTGATAAGAAATTGAAATACAATATCAGCTGTGGACAAAAATCGAAATTAAAAATGTGTTTTTACATGCACTCGGACTTCGTATTTTCACTGGATATAAAAACTAATGTAGGTATAACACGACATAACTTTATAAATTATTAAAAGAAAAAACATAGATTTGTCATGAAACTTTTCATTTATCAGTTATTTATTTCAGGTAAAATGGTTTCATAAGAACAGTTACAAAATTTATAAAACATCAAATGCATACCTTGCTATATAAAGATTTGACACACAAATTATAAAAATCCAATCAAAACAATATGATTTCAGACCCTATGACAGTTCATGCAGAGGTTTTAGCAACTACTCTCATCATTCAATATGAAATTTATTCAGATGTCTGTTTATAGCATTAACTTATTGATTTAATTAATAACCAATAGAACTTAAATTATGATGAGTTTTTGGTAATGTAGTAAAAATCAAGTGTAGGTAAATTAGGTTTTTTTTCTCGTGGCTTTATATCTAACCTGTCTTCATGTTCTTCTTCGTTGCTACCAGACCCTGTGTTAGTGGGTCGGTCGTCTATGGCTGTTTCTAACTGCCTCGTCTGTGCCACATTTTCTATCACCACCGCCGTTGTTGCTCCTGTGATGGGTTCACCAGATATGGGAGGTTTTTTCGCAGCTCTCTGCTTCTTAGCCCGGTTTCTTAAAGCCTTAATTTGGAGCAAAATAATAAGCATGTTATAAAAATTACATAGTTGGTAAATTGTAAATTGATTTCTTTTTGTAAGTACTGATAGGGAGATTACCTTAAAAATATTATAATATAGGAACATCATCATGATACAAGGTATGTAGAATGATCCTAGAGAAGAGTAGAGGACGTAGTTCTGACTATTGAAGAGGCACTCGTCAAAATTCCTATCTGGAGTATCATTCAGACCAAGCACGATGGGAGCGCCGATGGCCGCTGATACCAGCCACACTAACACAATCGTGAACCAGACACGACGATTGTTTTTATGTTTAGCGTATTTGATTGGCTGAGTTACTGCGATGTACCTGAAGATAAAATTATGTTAATGTCTTAAACTACAAAGTTAAGTTGTATAAATTCATTTTAATATATATTTAATACTATTTTGGATTTGTGTTTTTACATTTTTAATACAGCAATAACACATCAGTGTTGTGTTCTTAATATTTTGTCATTTGCGTTACATCTTAAAACTTTATAAGAAGTAGGGTATATACTACTTATGAAAACACAAAAGTCTTTAGTTATCTAAGTCAATATTCACATAATTATCAGTTTATCAAAGTTATATGTATAAAATATGATTATTTGCTTGAAATTCTATAAAAGTCATTTGTAATCTATTTTCCTTACCTATCAACAGATATAGCGACCAAATTAAATATACTTGAAGTAGACGAAGTGACGTCCATAGCGATGTACACGTCGCATATAAATGCAGGAAGACCCCAGGAACCATTAACCTGCAGACAAAAATAAACTTTATGACATATATATAAAGTATGAAATACACTGTACTACTACTAATAGGTTGTAAATTATTTATTTGAATATTTGTTTAAACTAATTTCATTAAATCATATTATCCTATCTGATTTTATCTACAAATGTTACCGATAATAAAAAATATATGCAAGTATTAATTTTAATACTGCAATGCGTCCATAATGCAGTAAGTTTTATTGGGTTATGAATTAATAATGTACAATGATGAACTTTTAATAATGTTTCCTATATATACAGGCTTTTAATAAGTGCTCTTGTAAATAAGGTTCAATATTGCTTGTATATTTTTGGTTGTATTAACAACACTATGACTAAGAAATGTATATTGTGTGACGTATTTGGAATCGAACATAGATATGAACATATATTTACCTAATTAATAATATATAATATATTTACATGTAATTACCTGGCTTATGTTACAAAGACAGATCCCTATCATGACTTTAATATATAACAATAGGATTTACTCAAATCTAATTTACGATAATCTATAGGATTTACTCAAATTTTATTTAGTTTACTTGTTTTAATCGAATCAAATTTTGTTTGTTTTAAGACTGATTATATTTGAAATGATATTTGTAAACATGTAGATTTTATCTAATTAAAATATTACAGGACATAACAATATAAGACAGATAAAAATTCTACTCAAAAAAATTAAATGAGTTAAGAAAGTGTATAATAAAAAGAGTTTGTGATTACTTTTACACGATAAAAATATTGTATTTATATTGTGTTGTAGAACTTATGTTTATATAGAATATTCTTCATAATATTATATTTTATTCTATACTGCATCAAAAAATTAAAGCCTACAAGTTGCTGAATCACACCGGTACACCTCACATCCGCAGCCACACGCCGTCCGGCTCCGGCCATTACAAGCTTTTGTTCGACATCTTTTGTATCTCATTTTATTAGTTCCACCAACCAAGTATTTATATTATCGGATACATCGTTTGATTAATTAATGACTTCATTCATTCACATCACATTGACATACTAAGGCTTATAAGTTTTTTAAATATTTTAATTAACGACTGTATATTTTTTTTTATATTTTACATTGAAGTGTGACTTCAGTTTAAACCAAATAAGTAAATGTTATGTTACACAATATATTACTACAATATATTGTAACTCAACTAAAAATAGACAATATATGTATATAGAGTCTCATAGTATTTATAGGGCTTTGAAGAAAATACATATTTCATGTTCTCAAATGTATGTTAAACCTATAAAGAATAATAGCATAAAGAAAATAGTTACTTTTATTTCACTTATTAACTTATTAACATGACTTTTTAAAGAAAATCGTGGTAAAGAAGTTAATTAGGACCCAAAATCGATTTTCGTCCAGGCTATTAATACACTGATTGAATACTCATATCTAATAATTATAATTCACACATAATCTTAGTGCATTTCAATTGTCAAATACAAATATAGTAGCTGAAAACCTTATTTCTTCTCAAAGAATGACAACTTATTACTCATTCGCTAAACTTCGTACAGGATCTCTAAATCAAAGCTAAATTTGTACGAAAACAAACAATTTAAAAATATGTTTATCTCCGTAAAATTATAAATACGTGTCTATAGTCAACAGCAGCCCCTTTCACCGTGAAAATGTTTTTCCTTTTACAGGCTTATTCACCACCTTTTAAGTTTTTTTTTAACCATTTCAGTTAGCCAAAGCAAAATATAAAAGATGAAGTTAATTTGCATTCATTCATTACCCCGCTAATAGAGCGTTCACTTATAAAAGCGCTGTAATAAAAATAGAAATACATTTTTATATGGAAACTACCTTTAATGATATTATGTTGGATAGATGATAATTAATATGAAATGGACATAAAGTTAGTTTCGGTATAAATCAACATAATAATACTACGTTATTTAAATGATCTGTTTTATTTTTATTAATTTCTTATTTTAAAATAGAAAACAAGCGGGAGAGGGTTACCTTACATACATGTTTAGATAGTCTGTATGTATGATAAATGTCCGGTTGTCGGAAATAATAAGAAGAAAATTGAATATACATATATTTTAAAAACGGGATACACATGATCTAAAATCTTTATAAACCGTTTTTATGAATACATTTTTAAAAATACCGTCTTAACGGTAAATAAAATTTTTAAATTTATGTTAACGATTTTTAAGTATTGATTACTTATTGCATCTTTAAGATTCATCAGATTTTATATCACTAGTTTACGAATGATTGCGTCACTTTAAAATATAATACAGAAGTATATAAAACATATACATATATATTGTCGTATACTTAGTTACTTGTACAAATGATATGCTAGTATTTCCAACCAAATCAAGATGGCTCTCTGATAACAGAAACAGAGTTATTATCAATGAAGAATTAATAATTAAAGGAATGGAACTCATTACTGAATCTTGCCAAAAGAAAATCCCTTACAATCTTCCATTCCTATTATGATGTTCTCAGTTACCTTCAACAATCTGTTCTTTGGTCTGAATAAAAGCCAACGACAGTAGATGAAGATATTTGTCATAGTGATTAATAAAACACAAAAGCGTCAAGAGATGAAAGAACAGTTAAATATAAGTATTTAGTTTTGACCCTAATAGTTACTTCAGTTACGATGCAGTAAAATTTGTCATAATTACCAATATAATATATTAAAAATAGGTATTGAAACTTATAATAATTATTAACATAATATATTTAGGTGAGAAGGTAAAGTTTAAAAGTGAGGTCATTGTATCTAAAAAGGGTGTTTGAAGTTGTTTATAATCAGTATAATTTACAGTATTAAATTTAAGGTTACGCTTATTAGGAAGAAATGAAAATGGTTCGATAATTAATGAATATATAACAATCCTCTGGTATTAAAAAATAATAATCGCAAATCAAATAGCAGCTCTTAGTTATCAATTTATAAACCTAAACGTTAGAAGTCAGAAAAATCTCCATTTTATTTTTGATTACTTCAATATTTAGTTTAAGCCTTAAAATAAAGAAACATTTTAATCTATTCTTTAGACTACAAATCCAAAAATTAAATGATTACACATAAGCTACGTGCAGTACATGAGAAAATGATTCAGTAAAATTCTATGAAAAACTGCATCCAATCCCAAGTGAAGGTAGCCAACTGACCGATACCATACTAATATTCAGGACACGTTTCCAATTACACCCAATCGATTTGGGCGGTCGCTATTAATACCAGCTAATTTAAGATACCTTATTGCGGATAAGTGATGTGAGCAGAACTTAGTGGCAAAACCGTTATTCTTCGAAAGCTTATATCGACGTTGAATGGGATAAATTGAGGTTTTATCAAGAAAGGTTTCAGGGAAGTAGAAAAATGTGAGAGTATAATACAAACACTTGCAGCAGCTACATTGAAGTTGGTAATTTTTCTCTCCTGCGAAATATACTGATAAAATATTTTGTTAAATTTATAATGCCATTTATAAAAGGTTATATTTTAAATATAATATACTGTATTTTATGAGGCAGTAATAAATTATTATAAGCGCAGTTCATGTAGCGCAATTAATTCACACTCTTATCTTTCAGAACCTCTTTGTTGCTTCCAATTAGTGATGATTATTAAGTTTTAAAATCAGTACCGTTTATTAATATCGAAAATAATTAAATTCTTATATGAATTTAATGTAAATATCGTTAAGATTACGACAAGAAGCATGAAAATAAATTATAGGGTTTAAGAAAAAGATGTTGAAGACTAATGAAGTAAAGACGTTGTTTTAAATTCGCGTAATATACTAGTATGCCACTTGTTCGTAGTTTTGTTGTTTTCCATTATATTCAATTGCATATTAAAGAACTTTTAAATAATTTTATATTTTTGTTTGACTTATTCCTACTATTTTTTTATTACTATCCATATTGAAGTATGATATTAAAATTACTTTATGAACAACGCCATGTTGTCTGGAATAACATGATACGTAATCCAACTATGAATTGTTCTAACAAAACGTGTCTAATAGTTTCAAATCAAGCGGTTGAAAATATCTGCATCAAAATTAATTTGCGAGATTTTACCTAAAAAACTATTTACATAAATGCATACATTGCAATTTAAACATGACAATCACTGACTTAAAGTTGTTTCTAAGTTCTTGTTAAATAAAAGTAATCATGTGTAATGTAGTAGTCTCTTAAATAAATAACTGTGTTTAAAAAATATATTTTTGTGTTTTATGTAAAAAAGTGTAATTTCATTTCTCTGTCATTGATGTTGAAAAAGTTTTATATCATAACCTTATTGATATTAACAAAAAATATACATTTTCTATATCAAAGTTTCACAGAAATACGATTTTTATTCTTATCTAGTTTATAATTTAGTTGAAAAAATAATTTCATTTTCCTTTTGATGAAAAATTACAAAACACGTACACCAGGAAGTAGGAAAAAAAATCTTTATAAAAAAAATACAATGGTTTAGAAAAAATACAAGACTCGTATATTTTTATTTATTGGCATAACAGTACAGAACGTTAGCGACTTGAAATATGAGCTTTAAGCGTAAGTAATAAGGATTAAGACATTAAAAAGCGTAGCTCGCTAGCTGATATTGCTATGAAGTACAGTCGTTTCGTGCAAAGGTTCTATTACAAAAGCTATCCTTTTTAATATAGCTTGCTTTTTACCCTTTGAATTTGAAATAATACTGTCACGCTCCATATCGTACGTGATCAGAATATATATCCCTGTTTGCTTCAATTCCTAAAAGTTCATTCAATATTAAGCTTTATTTATCAGTTATAGATACTAAAATTAAATCACATTTTTCGGTTCGCCGATGAAGAGAGTATATAATTTTGTATCGCTGAACGGTAATTATCATAATATTAAAGTGGAATCCGATGGGAATCTATTAAATAATGATCAAAACGGATTACTATATCACATAATTTGAAAGAGAAAGTAATTTGAAATTCTAACAACTCGTAGGTATTGAAAAAATGTACGAAATATTAATCAATTTCCTTTGCGCGTTACTGTTTAAGCATAGTATGTTTAATTACAATTTGATGTATGTGTATTTCATTTAAATGAATAATCGCGAAACTTTTAGATCTTATTAGTATATATTTCTTTTTTTATCTATCTGTATGTAGTTCAAAGAAATAAATAGTAGTAGTATAATATACTAATATCATAAAATTAAAACGATCTTGTACGTAATGTTGTATAAAAGTAAACATTTCATATTATATTAAGATTTAAAGCTTAGACATTTTTAATTAAACACTCAATTTAGAATGAGAATACTTAATTTATTTTATGTATGTCTTTCATAATATCTTTATTTGAAAACCAAGCAAGCAAATCAAGCCCTTAATTCATCGTCATAAGACGTATAATCTCTTCCAGTTCAAGGAAGGCTTGAGCTTTAAGTACTAATAAATCTAAATTAATTGTATTCAACAACGTTGATTTCTGCTCTTCATCAAAATTGACAAGCAAACTTTGATTAGATTCTTAGCTTCATATCATATATGAAATGGGTTTTAATCTCAAATAAAGTGTTTTAATAACTTTTTTAATCAGTTATTTTAATTTTAATCAACTTTTTAGAGAGTGATTATCAATTTTTAATATTTTCTTGTATATAAAGAACACATGAACTGAAAAATAAATTACAGTATCACAAATCTTTTTTCCTAATTACACCTTCTATTAGTGGTAGCTCGTTAAAAGGTTCGCTTAACATGAAAATATCAAGGTACCTTTTGATCTCTGTTACACGTGTTTAATGAAAGAACGTCTGATGTCATAAGCGAAGTGTATCTGGTATGTCCTTATTATTATAAAGAGCTAAGTTAAAACAAAAATTCAGTCACCCAAAATCAAACTGAGGTTACTAAAAATGTTTCTCAATAGTTGGGATCCTTTTTGTGGGCTCAATTACTTTCATAAATCTAGTAAGTGGAAGTAGATTGAATACTTCTATAAGTAATATTGTTTTAAAACAGAACAGAACACAGAACACAAATAAAAGTTCTACAAAACATTTCTTGAATAAAAATAGGAGTTTTACCAATCTCAGCCATGATTAAGTGCTAAAGGTAGGAGTAATAAAAGAAAATTTAAAACAAGTCATAAATTTAGTCGAGTGCTAATATTGTGTTCGAAATTCCTTCAAACTTTTGCTTGAAAATAAAATGGGGAAGGTTTAACACCTACTTTTAATTGCTCGAACCTTTATTGAGTTATTTATGGTTCAGTTTTGATTTATATAATGTTAGAAACGTTTTCAACAATAAAAATATGGTTCGTGTGGATCTTTTATGTATGAATGGGAAAAGAATAATTTGTGAAGACCCCTTGACACGAAAAATATACGGTTTTTTTTCACGAATCTTCCATGATCATAATTCAAAATAAAACATAACAGGCTTGTAGAATTTGAAACAAAAATATCTCCTTGCATTTGTAATATATTTTCATTCATTAATAATTTATTCATACATAAATAGATACTTAACAAGTTAATGTAATGTTCATATAAAAAAGTTCAATAACAGTTTGTATTTCGTAACGACTCCAGAATTATCAGAAATATCAAACTATTTTAGACTTCTTTATATATATTAATACTTAATAAATGTGTGTTTGATTATAACTGAACGTAATATGTATTCAAACAACTAAATCATAAAAAAAGAAAAATATTCACACAAAAATACATTAAAAGCTCAAATTCATATTTTCATCTTGGTTCATAGAAAAATCCTTTAACAAAGAGTGTTGTTCCGCTGATTGTGAACTCCTTAAGCTGGAAACTCCACAAGTCCTGCTTCCATGAAGCGGTGGCCTTCCTCGAATTCTTCCTTCATATTTATGGCGTTTGTTAAACGGACTTTGTTCATTATCTGATATTTCATCGAATTTTCGCTTAGAGGATGACGTAGAATCGTTTGCGGTTATCGGTTTATGAGGTGTCACTGAAATGCATTAAGGTTCTTGTCATTAATTATCATCAAATTTGTGAAAGTAATGGCTTAGCCTAGTTTAAAAAATACCAAATACAATTAATAGAATGCCACTATCTAAAACAGAAATTGATCATCTGATTATCTTAAAAAAATATCTACTAATTACGGGAGTAAAACTTATGTTTAGTCCCTGCACCCACTATTCGCGATTTCTTAATTTGAATTTTTTTTTTACTATTCATTTATCGCTCCATTTTTTCTTTCACGCGTAAAAGTCGGTCACGTTCACAATAAAGGTCTGTCTGTTTTACTTACGTGCATTTCGGTCAAAAAAGGTCAAACAACCTCTTCTTTGTGTTTTATGAGTACAATCACGAGTTCCTTACACAGGAATAATGTTTTAACGCAAATATAACCTTTATTACGAAAAGTTTAAGCGTTTGTTTCGTGTACAGCTTTTACGTAATGAGAGAATAGTGATTGGGATAGTAAAGCAGTCGCTTTTCTACTAAACCGGGTACGTGCCAAAGTTGTTTATTTTAGTTTCTGGACGAGTTTGTTTTGCTAAATGTCACTTTCTGTTGTATTTTATCATAAAACGATGCCTAAGTAAGGTAAAAATAAAATACATGTATATTAAATACAAATAGAAATTGTAACACTTTTTCACTTCAAAATTAATGCTAATAACTTATTACTGTCGAATCGTAAACAATTTAGGCTCATTTTAATATTAAATCCGAGCTTGTATTCTGTAAAGAACAAAACGATAAATTAAATGTACAAGCCTGTTATTGGATTTATGTCAGAAGCAAAAATTAATATTCGTGTAATCTGGCTAACGGGCGGAAAAGATAAAATTCAAGTTGAAAACCAACACTTCAATGTATCTTTGACACCGACAATATTGCATTTCACTTTCGATTCCTTTCCACTTTGGAATGATGTCGTTTTGTTTGGATGTATTTTCTTTCGGTTATTACTTTTCCTACATTTCTCATTTGACGTAAAATATTTCGGAGATAAATTGTATTCGTTTTGATGCAAATTAAAAGATAAAAGGACATTTGTTGAAATCAAAATTAATATAAAAACGAATATATTACAAATAGATAGCTTTTCTCGCTTCTACTTCCACGAATATTGAATTTGAATGTCATGTTTTAAATAGATTGTTGAAAAATATTCTCACCAATAAATACGGTTACATAAAGACAAATTGGATATATTAATTCAAATTCAAGATTTTTATGTATCGATCTAAGAATCAATAATCAGACATAAATAAAGAATTGTAGATAATTTTTGTAGCATTGCTCTATCCTAAATTTTTATGGAGTATATCAAAAAATGGTTTTTGCTCAAATTATTATGAAAGTAACGCAATCGGTTATATATAGTCCTAGTTACCTTCACTTCCCCAGAATACATTTTTCACAGCTCTGGCGACACTCGACCAAATGTTTTCCTTATTGGAATGATCCTCTCGTTCTATTTCCGTCGCCTTCTCACACCCACCGTCTTCAGCAATCCTTTTAACGCTAACTGTTTTTTTCGTGATAACAAATTTAAATTGTATTTCAGTTTCGTCACTAGTGGAGCGTAAAACAGACGTGAGACACGTTTGTAGGGAGCCAGCAATGTTTGCGGTTAGCGTTGTTATTGCATTGTTGATCGGTTGAATGGGTGAATCGACACACGTCCTGAATAATTCATTTTCTTTCCATTGACTTCCCGAGTCGACTACTGGGCTATCATCTTTAAAACTAATAGCTCTGGCTGGCAAGTTATGATCTATTGCTGGAGGCGTGTCTTCCAGATGTTTTTCTTTTAGTTCTTTAGTGTTAAGCGGTGTCCTCGCTAATGTCAGTGCCTGGTTTTCGAAACGGTTGACAAGGGCTTGGAAACGTGGGTTATGAGTGAATCTAGGTCTTTGAGGTCCGGGTGTGAGCATGCGTTTGGGTTTCCTAAAAACTGTTTTTATTATTAGTATTTAATTTGTTTATTGTTAATGAGACGTTACCACTTATTAGAACTTTGGTAAAAAAATACTTGTATACCTCTTTTTATTTTAGGTTCCTGCTTGAAAATTGTATCATCAGCAAACTTTACTTTTTTTGTCTTTACAGATGTTTCTGTGTTATTAGTGCTATCTTGAAAGGTGACCTGTTTATCAGTGCTGTCTTGACTACCAAACTTAATGTGACTGCCTACTGCTATTATACTTTTTAACTTTGGAATATTTTCATCAGCTTTTGATGCCTGAAAATATAATTAAGAAAATATATACATCATTTTGAAATAGTACGCCAATGAGTATAATTGATGAATTTAATGGACGAAAAATTATTTGATATTTTAAAATATCTAACAATCTTTTGTGAAATACATGCTAAGTTTCAGTTTTTAAATCAATACTCTAAGGGTTTCATTTTCATGTAAAATATTTGTTCCTAACTCTTTGTTCATATTTAACAAGGTGAGAAAATCCGCAATATACATTTTTCGTTTAAAAATTGTGAAAAGTTCTTCATCTTAAAAGCTGGTATAAACGGGTATATTGCATTTACAAAATAAATAGTCTGAGTTGCAACATTTTTCTTCGTCATATATTTAAATGATGTGTTTAATATTTAGAGAATATGTAACTTGTATGTTATATTACATCCCATGCTTGAGGCTTATATAGTATATAAGTTAATTTTGGTAGTAAGTAAATTATACCTCTTTGTCAATGCTTTGTGCAGGACTATCTGCTGTTTCAATTTCTGATAGAGGGGAATCGTTACCAGGAGCTGAAAACCAAGCTCCCGCTGCGGGATGGGTCGGAGTACTGGTAGTAACAATCTGAGCTAGTTTTATAACATGAGGCAGATGAGACGTAGGTGTGGTCATTTCTTTATCATCTTCTGGAACTGTTCAAATTTCTCAAATTTATTCATATTTATACATTAATACAAATTATAGACTATGCTTAATGTACATAAAAATAGTATTGACAGTGACAGAATATAACGTTGCACGACTTAATCATTTTACTCATGTAATATGAACTTATTTTTGTCTATCCTTTCTAAGCATTCTTAAATCGTAAATTTAAGTATTTTTTTATAAAAAGTTTAATGATTAAACCCATTAAAAATGCGTTAATAAGTAACAGCCTATAGAATTATGATTTTTGAGTGGTTCTAATACCCACTTATATTAATGAGTTTCGCGGGTGCTTCATAATTACTGTTTAATAAATATATTTTTTGATAATTCCTGTTAGTATTTTATGCGAAGTCGTTATATTTATAATTAATTAACGTATTTTAAAACTTACCATGTATATTATCAGTAGTGCAGGATGTGGTTTTATTATTCAAGGAAGATTCATTAAAGTTTTCATCAACCGTTTCTTCATATTCATCAACAACTTTTTGTCTCATAAGACTTACGATTTTCTTTATATGTGGAGTAGCCGCCCTTTGTCTTTTTAGTTTTGGTGTTTTAGCCGGTGTTTTAGACAGAATTTTAGGATGTGGAGTCGTCATCGTTGGATTTTCCTCTTCACCCTCGCTTTCACTAGATTCATAGTCAACAAGATATTTTTTTCTCACTATTGGTGTTATCACAGCTGTTTTAGTTGAATTGTTGACTGATATAATAGCTTCGAAATTATCTCCATCGCTATTAATCTTTTCGTAGAGAGAATCAAACTTTTCATCTATATCAAATTCTTTTTTAGGCTCATCATCTTTATTTAATAATTCAGATATGTTAGTACATTTATCTATTTCAACTAAATCTTCCATGTTCAGAAAAAACTTGTTACACTTTTTACACTGTAGTGGTAAGTGTTCAGTTGTTAAGTGTTCTATAAAGTCTTGTGTTAGTTCTTGGGGTTGACAAAGGAATCGATGCCCGCGACAGATGGGACAATCATAAGTGAGGCCGTGAGTGGCTCTCTCGTGGTTCCAACGACACTTTCCACAACAAAATACCCGATGGCATACAATGCATCGAACCTAAAATATTGATTGATAAGTATTTGTTTAATTCTAAACACTGTAATTATGTTTTACGAATGTTATCTATGTATTTTGCTCCAAGTTTTATATAATAATGTTAAGATAAAAAATGTAATGTACAAATAGATTAAACAGATTATATTCCAAGAAGTTAGTATTATCATTAAGCTTAGCTTGAAATATCTCAAGACGTTAACTTCCTAGTTATCACTCGTTACTAATTGTCTCGTTAACCTACTTGCTACAAACTACATATAAATGTTAATAATTATGAAAGATCTAATTTCAATATATGTAAAGAATAAAAGCATTGTAAAATTAAATTTGTTAGAAATATAATGAAGTTTCTACATACATATATAAAACAAAATAAATGAAAAAAACATAAAAATACTTTTTATTCGTCTTGAAATTAAGTTAATTTCAATATATTTAATTCATAAAATTGAAACACACAACTTATTTATATAGTTAGAATAAATCGATAGTAAGAAATATGAAAATATCCATCACAAGTACCAAAATAAAAATACCGACTAAAGTATCATTAAAAATATCTTCAATATGTCTATATTCGTTTATTATTAATTGCAAAATATCTCTGTTATTACAAAAATGTTATTAAGAAAATGCTTTGGAATAATTTCTCTAATTAATATTTCATACCATATGAATATAAATTGATTTATTTAGTTTGCAAATAAGAAATTACAATTCAAATAATATTGATATCATTCATTGATTGACATACCGATGAGTGTTTGTTGATTTCATACTTTATTATGTGGTATGAAAATCAGTTTTGACCACACCACAATTTATTTAAACGACTAATCATCAAATAAATAATTATGAGTTAATTGAAATATGAAATCGTTTATATTTGTGATTGTTTCAGCATAAAATCATTGTATTGTCAGCTTGTTTTATGAATTGAAATTATAATTAAATGAAATGTACTGCAATCAATTATTCAAAGAAAATTAAGTAGCAGGCAAATATTAAGACGTTTTTATTTATGTATACAAATACTGCAAAGAAACTTATAAGAAGAATTAATCAACCGTTGCTCCAGTTTGGAATGTTGAATTTAAGTATAAGACACAAGCGAGAAACTTTATAAGTTTAAACTCATTTTAAATTGCAAAATTTACAACACTGACAGAATAAGTCCTGTTATAAAATTATAGTGTTCCATTATCCGTATAATAAATTAAAAAGTAAATATTGTTGAATATTTTTACATTTAATTTTTAAATGAAGTAATATTTCTTAAACGTAAGTTATCCCTGTACTTAACTTTAAAAGTTGCTAGCATAATTCTATAATAAATTATTCAAGTACATACGAGTAGTACCGAATCCATATTTAGCAAGAAACCTAAGGTTATTTATGATATTGAAATCAAAATATTTGGTACTACAGTTGGTATAATATTCGTCGTATTAGCTCATGAATCCTTGTTATATGTACCTTGATTTTATGTTTATTTAATTAAGTATAGTATACAATGACTAAATTATCTGGAGAGTGAACTTAATGACAAATTTCAAAGTAAATAACAAGAAGAAAACCAAATAATTTAAAAACGTGTGAATGACCTTCAAATATATGAAAACTACAAAGATATAATCCTGCTAAATAAAAAGTCTACATCAAAATCAGTTCTATTGTTGAGATTCAAAGATTATCACTGTAAACGCATACACAATTTATATTGTGCCGGGAAATTAAAATATTATTCAAAAATAATTTGATATACCATTTTAACTTCAGTATTATTTCTCGTTTATCTGAAAGCATTAAACAATTACAATAAAATATAAATTTGAAACTACTAAGTAAAATACATCTCTTTTGTTAAAGTTTTACTTCGAGCCTCACGGTGTTATCTAAATGTTTTCAGAATTATTATACATTATATAAGGAGAGAGATACCTTACATAACCATTGAATTTTTTTTTACTTGAAATACATATTGTGGCCTTAAATGTATAAAAATCAGTTTTATAACTGATGAATCTGTAGCAACCAATTTAATATATAAAAATTATATAACCTTTTTAGAAACAAGTATACTGGCAGCTAAATTTAAGATGACATATAATTATTATAAAGAAGAAAGCAATTTCTCATAGAATTAGATACAAAAACTAGAGTTGTCATTGGAGGCCGAAATTGTAAAAGTAAAAAATTGTAAAACATATATGTATATGTATATATTAATATAATATATATTCGTAAGTGGTATATATGTACACAACTAAAATACCACTTCAAATCAAAATATTTTTCTTGCACTGTATGTATATGTATGTATAACAGTTCTATAATTGAATAATGTATTAAATATCTGCATATATGATTTGTTTCTAATACATAATTTCACACTTATATTTTAAACGTAATATAAATTCAAATAATTTGTTACTTAATTATCGAACTAAAACAACGAATGTTTTCATTACTCTGTGACAGCAGGAGTTCAACAATATTACTCCTTGTCTACAAATTAATATGACACTCCATATTAAAATTTTACTATATCAAAGTTTTGTTTAACTAGAGAACTTGTTGGAAAATGTCACTAGAATTTCAAGCGAGAGAATTTTGAGTAAAATGAAATGATGCACAAGAACTAATAAAGTGACTTTAATATTATGTAACGCCATGCCATAAGTGCCATGCCATGCCAAGCCCAGCCAAGCCACCGCCTGAGCCAGGCGGAAGTATTGCCATGACAGTATGCCGCCGAAACTGTCTTAGCCAATCACAGAGCTTAGCCAATCATAGCGTTTGACCAATCAGCGAGAGCGTCAGTGGCGTCACATCGTTTAATTTTGGAATTGCAGGGGGATGGAGAGAAGATACCCTGGAAGGAGAGGATCTCTCTCTCGTGACGGAGTGCTAGAGGAATCTCTGACAGTGTACCTACGGGATTGTGTGAAAAGTAATAAACGCCAGATTAAACTAAAGTGTGTATAATTATTGTCCTCCCGTTTCACTCAGAAGTGGGATATGAAGCGCAGTCGTCCTAACGAAGCTGGGTGTAGCGTCCGCCCTCCAGGATGGAGCGAAAATCAAGACGATAGTGACGAGGAAGAAAATAATTCACTTCCACCTGCAAGGAAAATATTGAAGTCATTGTTAGAAAATGAAGTCGAAAAAGCAATTTACAACCTTAATGACGACACTATTTCGTTCAACCACGTCAAGAGTCATCGTGCAGCATCCCTTATTCCCGAATTCGATCCCGATGGTGAAGATTGCACCGTAACTTCGTGGTTAAAGAAGATTGATCAATTAGGAGACATACATGGGTGGGACGAGAAAATCAAAGCTTTTTACCTGCAGGATAAATTACGTGGTCAAGCTCGCAAATGGTACAACAGACTTGAAAACTACGATTACTCCTGGGCCGAATGGAAACATATGCTGGTACGAGCCTTTCCAAAACATCGCGACTTTAGCCTACTATTAAACGAAATGATGCAAAGAAAGAAGCTACCAAACGAGACGATGACCAAATATTATCAAGACAAAATTGCTATGTGCTTCCGTTGCCATTTATCTGATAGTGCTAGTGTATCGTGTATCATCAGAGGCTTACCCGTATACCTACAACCGAATGCCCGAGCGTTTCAATGCCAACGTCCTGATGAGTTATATGAATCTTTCCTCTGTGCTCTTGATGATTATCATTCTCCCACATTTGAACCTCGGATGATGACCAAAGACACGAAACAATCGTCGAGTTCGGATAAAAAAGTCAATCCTGAAATTGATCCTTGCCCCCGTTGTAAGAAGACCGGCCACATGTTGCGCAACTGTACATTACCGGATCAACGTATTTGTTTTAAATGTGGTCAACAAGGACACATCGCCACTCGCTGCTCCGGCACTTCGGCTAGCAACTCCAGACGTTCTATGGAATCAAATGACAACATTAAAGAGGTTAGAATGGTGCAAAACTACAACGAAATCTACAAAAAGGTAGCAAAGGTGAATGGAATTTATATTAAGTCTTACATTGACACCGGAAGCCAAGTTAACGTTATAAATGTCCAGATGGTGAGTCTCTTGTCGCTCGATGTTACACCTACAAGTACACGGCTCAAAAGCTTTTCAGGTGATTTTTTGACTAGTCGTGGAGTAGTAGAATTTGAGTTAGAAATTGATAATATTCACATACAATGCACGGCACATGTGACGGAGGCCGACATGCAAGATATTCACCTACTGATTGGCCAACCCGTTATCAATGCAGAACATGTATCGTTAGTAGTCACTAATGGGAGAGCCACATTAACTCGGAAAACAGATGTCTCGCCAGAATTCGATATCGTCGAAGACAAGAATAAATTTATGGTTACTACATTGAACAAGGAGTCTTTACCGCCTGGTGCCTCCATCATTAAGGTTAGGGTGGTCGGTAATGGAGATGGGAATGAAGTTTGCACCACACCACGCCACTACGAACTCCATGGTGTCTCATATTCTCTACCGGCAACGTTGCTTCAAGGCGGAGAGGGTTACATGAAGGTGGTAAACAGTGGTACAGGGGACGTCAACTGGGAAGCGGGCCAGGTTCTAGCGCGTGCCGAGAGCTGTCATGAAGTAGCCAACCAGCCAACTCGAGTAAGCCAAGCCAAACCATTAACAAATTTACTTAAAATCATGCCAAATACGCCCTACTTAGCCAAAAGCTCACCTGAATCAAAATCTATAGCTCCTATTTTGAATACAGACGATCTTTCTAGTTTAATCATAGGAGGAGTACCTATAAGTGAAATTAGTGTAGGAAAGTTAAATGAAGTCGAACATAGTAGTTTGATACAATTACTATTGCGATTTAAGCACACTTTTGCGGCAAATACTAGAGATCTCGGTTGCACAAAACTGTTAGAAATGAAAATCAAACTTACGACTCCACAGCCAATATATCGTCAACCTTATAGGTTATCGCATGCTGAGCAGCAAATTGTCAATTCTAAAGTTCGTGACCTACTAGATGCCTCTATCATTAAAGAGTCGGAATCGAGTTACGCTGCTCCAGTTATTTTAGTTAGGAAAAAGAACGGCGACAGTCGTTTATGTGTCGACTATCGTGCCCTCAATAATGTCACAGTAAAAGATAGATATCCTCTCCCTAATATAGAAGACCAGATTTCTAAATTAGCCGGTAAAAAGTATTTTACAATTTTAGATATGGCACAAAGTTACCATCAATTATTATTAGCTCCCGAAGACACCCATAAGACAGCTTTTATTACTCCTCAGGGTCATTACGAATACTTACGTGTTCCTTTTGGATTAGCGAATGCACCCTCGGTTTTTATGCGTCTCGTAAATAAAATAGTCGATTCCATCCGTTATACGTCAGATGGCAGCTCCTCGAATGAGATTTTAGCATTCTTAGACGATTTATTACTTCCCTCTATTGATATAAACAGTGGCATAAAAATGTTAGAATCAGTATTGCGAAAGTTCGAATCTGAAAACTTAAAACTAAATATGCAAAAATGTTCATTTCTTCAAGACAAGGTCACTTACTTAGGACACGAAATTACTTCAAAAGGTGTTCAACCCTCCGATTCAAAATTAGATGCCGTTTCAAAGTTCCCTGTGCCTAAAAGCGTTCACGAGGTACGCCAATTTATTGGCCTCTGTAGTTACTTCCGAAAATTTATAAACAAATTTGCAATTATAGCTCGTCCTCTGACAGAACTAACTAGAAAAAATGTGCCTTGGGTATGGAGCGATAAACAGGACGGTAGTTTTAAGGAGTTAAAAAAAGCGTTTGTGCTCTAAACCTGTGGTAGCATTATATGATCCGACACTACATACAGAAATACATACCGATGCGTGCAAGTTAGGGGTCGCAGGTATTTTGTTACAGCTGCAATCAGATAATACGTTGCGCCCAGTTATGTATTTTAGTCGAGTAACCTCTAAAGAAGAAAGTATTTATCATAGCTATGAGCTTGAAACATTGGCGGTAGTAGAATCATTGCGTAAATTTCGCGTGTACGTCATAGGCAAACATGTGAAAGTAGTAACGGACTGTACGGCTGTTCGTGCCACTCTTACAAAACGGGATATCATTCCGCGAATTGCTAGGTGGTGGTTATCGATACAAGAGTACGACATTAGCGTTGAATATAGACCCGGCGAACGCATGAAACATGTTGATGCTTTAAGTAGGAATCCTATTGACACAGTCAATATAAATCGTCTCGAAATTGCTGACTGGTTTTATACGATTCAATATCAGGATGACAAACTAAGAAATATCATGGAGCAGTTGAAAAACGGATCGGCTCAGCCCGAGATACTCAACAATTATGAGTTGTTAGATAATAGATTATACCGTAAGACACTAAATGGCAATCGGTTAGTAGTTCCCGGACTTGCGAAGTGGAAAATTGTCCAAATACACCATGATGATATTGGTCATGTGGGTTTAAAGCGCTGTACTGATCTAATAAAACGTGAGTTTTGGTTTCCTAAAATGTCGCGGTTCATCAAAAAGTATGTCACTTCTTGTTTACATTGTGCTTATGGGAAGGGGATATATGGCAGGAAGGAAGGATTACTTCATCCTATACCTAAGCCAACGGAACCATTTAGAATGATACATGTTGATCATTTAGGCCCATTTTGTAAGACTAAGAAAGGTTATGCGTATATGTTAGTAGTAACCGACGCGTTTTCTAAATTCGTTATAGCAGAACCTACTAGAACTATTAATTCAATAGAAACAATTAGAATGCTCAAAAGAATATTCTCATTATTTGGATATCCTGATAGGATAGTAACGGATCACGGCAAGGCGTTTACAAGCCGGTATTTCAAAAAGTATGCTTCCGAAAAGCAATTCAAACATACACTTAATGCAATAGCGTGCCCGCGTGCTAACGGCCAAGTCGAACGAACAAATAGGACTATACTCGATGCATTGCGCGCTACCGACCCTAGTGAAGCTGCTAATAACTGGTCTAATTGTTTGCCTGATATCATTTGGGGTATAAACAATACCATAAATGATACCACGGGTATTAAGCCTTACGACTTAGTGTTCGCGCGTAGTGCTAGGCCTGTGTGTGATGTAACAATACCAGGTCGTATACCTGAATCTATTCAGTCAAGGCGTGAGAAAGCTAATAAACGTATTAAAAAGGCCAGTATCAAGATAAAACGTAACTTTGATAAACGACGTAAAGCCTGTCATATTTACAAAAGAGGAGACCTAGTTTTATGGAAGAAAGCTCCTACAAGTAGTGCTGCTAAGGTTAATACTAAACTAGATGACTTATATTCCGGACCTTATATTATCATTAAGTGTATTGGTAATGACAGATACAGGATTAGAAGCATTAAGGGTCTAAGAGGTTATAAAAACTTTACGGGTCTAGTCTCTGGCGATAGTCTGCGACCCTATCATAGCGTAGCTCCTGTATCTGACAGTGCCAGCAGTTCCGATGAGCAATTGGAGACGGAAGACTTAATTGATCTTCTGGAAAGCTAATAACCATTGCGGGAGCAATTATTGTAGGATGGCCGACTGTAACGCCATGCCATAAGTGCCATGCCATGCCAAGCCCAGCCAAGCCACCGCCTGAGCCAGGCGGAAGTATTGCCATGACAGTATGCCGCCGAAACTGTCTTAGCCAATCACAGAGCTTAGCCAATCATAGCGTTTGACCAATCAGCGAGAGCGTCAGTGGCGTCACATCGTTTAATTTTGGAATTGCAGGGGGATGGAGAGAAGATACCCTGGAAGGAGAGGATCTCTCTCTCGTGACGGAGTGCTAGAGGAATCTCTGACAGTGTACCTACGGGATTGTGTGAAAAGTAATAAACGCCAGATTAAACTAAAGTGTGTATAATTATTGTCCTCCCGTTTCAATTATTTAAACTAGAACAATTAAATTGAATAAGTTTTAAACTATTGTTTTCTTTTGTATATATAATGTATCCTGTGCAATAAAAATACCAGGTTTATGATGATTACCGTTTTGAATAAATTCTGTATGTAAGGATTTATTTCAAACATAATTGTATTAAATGAAAATAATAAAAAATTCTCACAAAATAAAAAAAAGATTATTGCTAATAATAAATTTATAATTTAGAAGTTTTTAATTTGACTTATCGATCAATTGCTAACGATTTTAGCGACATGTTATTGGCCTATAATTACGTTATTAATCTGTAAATGTCTTCTCTATTACTACAATAAAGCCTGAATGTGTAATAACAGAAAGTAGTGGGGTAGTGGGAGTGTCAAATTTAAAGCTAGTAAACACGTAACCTTATTATGATATACGGAGTGGACGTAAAAAGCAAAAACATGTCCCGGCCAATAGTGTTACTTCTGGACTAGCGTTCAACTGACACATTGAGAGACGAAGTTACGACTATATGTATATGAATATATGTTTTATATGTTTTACTTTAAATACATCATACTCTCATGTGATTAACTTAAAAGGTATAAAATTTCATGAGTAAATATTATGAAATTTATGAATGAATATAAAAGATAAGTGTATAATATAGTTTTTAGTAGATTCATTTATGTTTGAAAGAAAAATTGATTTAAAGTTACTAAAATTAATATCTATATTGTTTTATATACATCGTTCGGTCGAAAGTATATGAGGAATATGATGATTTTAATTACTTATGATGTCACATTTGTTGAAAAGCGATAATGTAGTTTAACACATTTACGATTCTCAATCACCTAAATTGTTTATATATAGTAGTAGCATCAATATTTATAAATTACTTTAAAAGTAATGATATGTATACTCAATAAGATAAATTATATATAGATTTTATTGCTAACAATATATTCTAACACGTTGATAACTTAGCAAAATAAAGAATAGTAGATTAATAAAACTGACCTCAACTGAACTCTTCATTGTAAATGTTCATATCTCCAATAAAATATGAATCCCGATCAAGTTCACAAGCATTATAATAATATGAATAATTATAATTCCTTCTAATTCACTTATTGATCTCAGTTTTCTATAAAATAAACGTCACTTGTATAAAATTATTTTAAATGTACCCGCAGTCAAACTCTGCTACAGATAACAAACACGATAGTATATTCTATATAAGCTGTCACTAGTATTGCCGTGGGACGAGACTTAACTCATTTTGTAAATCAATTTATAATGTACAAGTTAAATTACAGTTCATGCCTCAATTTAAAGTTGTGAAATATGAAGTATAATCTATGTATACATATACATATATGTATAATTATATAAATGAATAGTGAATAAAATATTTGTACAATTAATAAAAATTATACGACGAATAAATAAATACGATGATATCAAACAGTAAATTGAATGAACAAATTCCAAATGCATGTGAATATCTGTTAGTGATTTTTTATGTGAACATTTAATCAAACGATCAGTAAACAAATAGAAATACTAACAACGATTGTATTTGCAAATTTATTTCAAATTAATAATCCAATTTGCAATTGTGATAATTTTTTATTTCATTAGATTGTCATATAAATGTGTTAAAACCATTTCTGTTTTAATAATAATAATTTATTATTTGTTTATGCATTCTATTTTGTTTTAATTATATTAGTTGCTTATTCTTGATACTAAATGGTGATAAATGTTTTTGTTCTTTTGTACAGATAGTAGATTAAATTATAAGATACAGCAGTTTCCATCGTTCTTGTTCCGAGAGGAATTAAGTTCAAGTTTCTGTTAAAATGCAACTGTGAATAGAATCTTGAACTCATGAGTCGAATGTTGTACCGGTTTAAATAAATTTTATGCTACCTCTCATGAATCGTTTCACGTACAAGCCATTACTGGTCGGAATACTACTTTCTTTTACTACTTATTAGTTTACCAATAACGACTTATTTATTTATATAGTTTGCGCCAAACAGATTTTTTTTAATGAAAAGACCACTTATAATAAGACTTACTGTTAATGCTTATCAGCATCTTACCTGAAATATAAAAAAAAACATTTATTTATTAAGTAAATCAATTTTAATTGAAAAATCACAGTATATTACAACTTAATAAATTAGATACACTTTAAAATATGCAATATATTTTAATCTATACCACATTTATACTATATTTTTTTAATGTGGTTTAAATATTAAGTTGAATATATTTTCAATTATATGTTTCGAGTTATTATTCTGATTTAATAGTTTTTGACTTATGAGTAACAATCATACAAATACATAATATATAAGGTGACCTTGAATTATTTCCTAAATATAAACCAATATTATAGCTACAATTAAAAGTTTTATCTCAGACAAACATGTCCGACCTTTATTCTTATAATTAATTCGATTACAGCCACGTATTTTGTTTCTGACAGGTGATAAGGGTTAACTTTTAAATGCGTTTGTCATCAGCGTTTGTTCTTTGCCGCTTTGTACGGTTATCGTAAATAAAACTATTGTTGTATGATTAAAAAATGCGGGTGAAATATTTATGTAATAAACATTCGTAAATTATCAGGTGGTTTGAAATTAAGTATAGAGCTGTCGAGACATTTTATTGATCTTAAAAAGCATTCAATCGTGAAAGAATCACGTGAAATGTATTAAATGGTTTTCCAAGTGAATGGCCACCCTGATTGCTACGAGTAGTACTCCCTCCTCCCGTTCTCTTCTAAGGCAAACCTAGTCTTGCTATGAACATCAAGATTTATTATTGTTATTGAACATGCTTTTTTTTGTATTACATGTAATAATGTTGCATTAATCTATAAACTAACATGATTTCTATGTCACATGTTACGTAAATATTTAGATTTAAAGTAACCTTGGAGATTATTTTCCAAAACAAAGTATCTTCTTAATTAGTATACTTTCTCTGTTTCATTAGTATTGCATACTTAAGAAAGACACACTTGAATGCATATAATAAACTGTTTGCAATCATATATTTAGTCTTATTTTGTATTTAATATTTTTTACAAACAAGTTTCCATGAATAATTTATATCACCTATTAAAAATATAATTAACAATTAATTTAATAGAGTACTGCAATAATTATATATACCAGTCAACTTTGAATATAATTCTAAAAAGCAAAACGTCAACAAAAAGCTGACAGAGAAGTGACTTTTCGGTTATATTTTACTTGGACCGGTAAATCTTTCCTCGTGACATTTGGATATATTAATCTGACTCCCGGTTGACATCTATTGGGTGTTAACCTCTAGAGGATTTTATTAGCCTAAAATTGTTTTATTCATATTATTTTTTATTTTCACAACACTCACATCCCTCCTATATTTAATCGGCTTATAAGATAATCCAGACACTTCTTACTAATATAACAATGAAATAAATTACCTAAAATAGAAGAAAAAAAGGAAATTTCACTATCTTCATTACCCTTATATCAATTACCATCTTAATTTTTCCATTAAAAAGCACTCAAAGCTTAGTAAATTCCAAATGCATGCGTAATTGCTTAATTAGCATACCTAATTGGGGGAAACATTTTACCCAGACGTCGTTAAACATCCAACAAAAAGAATAAAACAATACACATTTATTTAGGTCACTGTACTACAGTCAAAAATACGAACCGACTTTGGTATAGCTCCAAATAATATATTTATTTATTTAGGTTTTGCTTCCAATAAATCATTATTAGTATCTTGGAGCATAAGTGATAATAAAATTTCTGCTCTAAAATTTTAATTTACACTAATATACGAAGTTTCAAAAATATTCTTTTTTTATTTATTTAAAGTATAGTATGTACTTTTATTTTTTGCATTTAATTATCTAATTTCTTACAATCCTTTCATTATTATGACATTAAAAGTGCCAGTTTTCTTATATTACTCAATTTATAATGTACTTTTTGTTTTATTAGGCGACGTCATTTAAATTAAGTATGACATTATTAAGTTAACATCTCGGAAACTCACGTATATATAAAATATGAGACGGTCTTTGATGTTCAAAGATATATTATAGAATGTCAGTAAAGAGAAAGTGTCGTTTAAAATTTCTTAATTTTAGTGATAAAAGTAAACTTAAAATAATACTAAACTAAATAAGGAATATGACTCAAGAATTTTTTTATTTTGTATTATATAACTACTTCCCAATATCAAAGATATAAACAAAATTCTCATTTAAATATTTGTTTATTACGTTGACTTACATATTAAACTTATATAGCACCAGAAGTTCATTTTTTAGTTTTATACGATTGTCGAAATTGCACTTATAGTTTTTATAAGCTTTAATATTGATAGGTTTCTTTCATAAATCAAGTAAGAGTATAGCGAGTGTCAAGGTCACAACAGATTACCAGATGGAGTCACCATCGAGAGAATGTCCCATGGACCATAAACCATCAATTTAAAGCAATTGCCGATAACAGATTGTTAATTACAGAAGCATTGAATTGTGTTCAGGGCGATTACTGTAACCTTGTTGCTAAAACTGATAATCTTATCATTATATAATTTAGCATAATATTATAAATCACTCGTTATAATATATATTTTATCTCATCCACGGTTTGATCACAATTTATTTTATATGTCACAAGCTGTCGAAGTCTCAAGTTTAAGACATTAGATATGTAGCGAAGAAGAATAAATTCTCAGACAAAGTTTTACAATTGCAGTTTAGAAACTTAGCTGTGTGTTAAATTTCTAATTCATCAAGTACCAGAGCAAGTTGGTACTTCATATATTATTCACGTCTAGTTAGCTGCCAGTGCGAGACAGTGAATGAAACACGTTTATACAACTCAAATATGCCTTGAAGTTATGTTCTTTATTATTAAACTACCAAGATATATAACAGCGTACGACGATGGTTACCTACAATTAGGTCGTGTTGCCTGCTAATGAATAACATCAAAAACTAGGGACATTTTAGACTGTATATCATAGGCATAAGGATGTCGTAATTATACATTCAAGGGATAATAAAACTTATGTTTATAATATGAAGGTATGTATTCCAAGTTGTGACGATGCTGATGAAAGTTACTTGATAAGGTAAAAGCGCTTGTAATTGAAACTAGGGGTCCAAGAGGAAAACTTTTGGGTTGTTAAGATAAAATTATTTACCGTAATATACGTACATTGCTACATTTATTTTAAAATACTCCTGTAATTTCCTTACAAAATAATTCTTACCAAGATACTAATAATATTTTTCCCCACAAATTACGAGGACAATAAGAAGAAACGCTTCCTTTGAGTAATTAAATATTTTGATGGAAATTATACTGTAATTATGAGTGATATTATTTTAAGCGAATAAAAGGTCATTTAAAAGGTTATTAAACCACCAGAGTCATCACTTTTAAACCTTCATGTAGCTATTTATAGAAATAATTTTATTTAATATTGTTCTAAATTAAGCCAAATGGGTGAGGATGCAATTAGTTTCAGGAAATCGTTCATGGACATCTAAAGATTTTCTTCCATTTGTAAATTTTTTGGTGATTATAAAAGAAAATGGGGTAAGATAAAGGGCATGAAGACAACTTTTGGTAATCGTATTCATCAAACAAACACAAACTAAAACCCATGTAAACTCCTACAATAAGGCACGGTGCAATAATATTAAAATAAACACAGTGACCTCATGAAAACAACATATTTATAATCAGAAGTTTTACATTATTATATCAAATAATCTTAACAAATCTTTATATATACAATTCTTCTGTGAGTGTGTATGTCACCGAACTTCTCTCAAACGACAGGACCGATTTTGATGAATTTTTTTTTTGTGTGTTTAAGGGGATCTGGGAATGGTTTAGATTCACAATTTTGTCCGCTGGACAATGTGTTTTTAATTAATTTTTAATTTATTTGTAGTTGTTGATACAAACGTTTTTTTTTACATTAGATTTGACAACTAA